CAACCCTGTCGCACCCCAATGGTGACAGGAAATGAGGGCGAAAATTCACCATGGCCCTAACCCTCCCCGAGGTCTGTTGATAGAGCGCTTTTAGGACTGAGGCATACGTCTGGGACACTCCGTATCTCCACAAACAGTGCCACAGTGCAGGGTGTTCGATAGAATCGAAAGCCACTCTGATGTCTAAACACACGACAATGGTTTGCCGTCTGTATGTGTGGCGGTGTTCTAGTAACTGACGGAGGGTGACGATTTGATCTATGCAGTCACGACGTGCACAAAACTCGGCCTGCTTCTCACGGATTGGGTGTAACCTGCGTAATAAAACGGACGCCAGCAGCTTCGGCGCTATTGGGATCAGACTTATGCCCCCTGTGGTTGGAACAGGCGTTGTGGCAGCCTTTCTTGTAGATGGGTGTGACAATCGATTCCCCCATGTGTGGGGTACACTTTCATTTTCCCAGATCTTCGAGAAAAATCTCACAAATTCTCTTACAAGAGCTTCTCCACCATCTTTAAAGAGGGCAAGTGGCAGGCCGTTTGATCCAGCTGCTTTGTGGCGTTTCAGGGTTTTGAGTTCCTTTCGGATCACCGCTTCTGTGGGCGGACCCGTGGATAGTGACCAGGGTGCACTCTCAAGAGAACTGCTAGGGGGCTGATTGAATTGCGATGTGAAGTGCTCTACCCATCGTTCCAAGCGTCGGTGAAGGCTGTTTATTAGCGCGCCTTCTACTTCGCAGATTGTTTCACTAACGAACTGTCTTCCGGGGCCTGTAGCACGGATGCGCTGGAATAGTTTCCTGATGTTTCCACACCCAGCCGCTGATTCCATTTCCTTTGCACGTAGCGTCCATCGGGCCTCTCGGTCGTCTCAAACTCTTTGTGAGCTCACACTTCAGGGCGAGGCGTTGTTCATTGTATTCGCGGTCTTTCGGGATTGCCCGACACGCGTTGAGGAGTCTGAGAGAGTTGGAGGAGACCCAGTGATTTACAACTCAGCGGGTTAGGCCACAACTGTGTAAACCGGCTGAGTGCACTGCGTTTTGAATGGTTGTCCAGTGTTGACCTACGCTGCTTGGTGGGGTAGTAGTTAGCCTTGCGGCCAACTCCTTTTGGTAATCGGCTAGTACGGCCGGGTCAGAAATCTTGGCGACTTCAAGCTGTTTGCTTCGCATTTTCTTGTGGCCACCAAATCTCATAGACAACTTGGCACAACCAGTGCGTGGTCGGAGTCCAAGCAGGTAGACCAATACGAACGGCAGTCTTTCACACATCCTCTCCATCTATAGCTAATGGTTATATAGTCAATCTGATTCCACTTCTGTGCCGAAGAGGGGTTATGCCAGGTGGTGAGGTGACGCTTATTGTGTCTGAAGTTCGTGGTAACGAGGAATAGCCCGTGTTCTGAGCATATTTTAAGAAGTCTCACCATTATCTGAACGACAGCTATCAAGGCCATGACAGCCGCCAAGATGATTCTTATCGGGTGACAGACGACCAGCGCGTGCATTTAGGTCCCCTGCTAGGATCACGATATCCGTCTTAGATTCTTTGAGAAGAAGCTCATGTAGGTTGTGGTAGAAGGCGTCCTTGAATGTATCCAGGCTACAGTCTGTGGGAGCGTATGCAGAATCCACGAATAAGCCTTGTTCGTTTGGTTTCTGCTTTTTGACCTTACTTGAGCTTCTGAGTCTCACTGCGCACAGTCGGCTATCTATCAGGATCCAGTCCAAAAGACCAGCCTCGGCCATGGCGCTCAAGGCAATATCAACGCCTACTTGACCAGACGCTGAATCGCTAGGGTCCCCGGAGACGTGCAGTTAAAACGCTTCTTCTGGGTTTGAAGGAGACGTTAATCAGATCATTGAGCTCGGATCTTGGATGCGTTTCCGAGATGTAACACACACCAATCTCCAGACTTTCGAGCGTACGAGGCAAACCAGCTTGTTGTCCTATACGCATTCTAACGTTAAGCGAAGCCAGCTTGAACACAGAGTGAGTTTAGAGGAATGGAATAGTCGGTTCCGAGACAGATTTCAAGGAGGATAGCGGCGAGCTACAACATGAACCTACGTCAGTGGAACCGTTCGGGGTGGGGAAAATGGGGGTATTGTGTGTGGGGGGTGGGGTGGAAGTGTTGCGTGCAGGTTTTAAGAGAAAGCTTTGCAGAAGTGTAATATTCTGTAACATGCGTAAACGTGTAAATGTATGTTTATAAGTCCAAGGTTAGTTTGTGGGCGTGGTACTCCCCAGTTGCCCAGGCCGAGGTAGAGAAGTTTCTTGGGGGACTCTACTTGGAGCCTTTGGTTAAAGAACCTGACCCGTAAGGCAGTGGGGTGGAGTAGGGAGTCCATGANCAACTATCCAGGGTACCCAGGTTGCGCTTGAGCCGCGCACCTGCCGGTGAGCATCACGGTAGTCAACTCCAACGATTAACTTTGGGGACCGGTTCGGTTGCGCCGAAGATTGGTGCCACTATGAGCTTCTTACGCCAGGTGTGGGTGGTTTGGAATTACGGTTTAACTAACTCCCCTAGATTGACTACCGGTGGTCAGTCAACCCGGTGGAAAGCGCCGAGCATTCGCTTTTGTCCTCCCAGTTTAGTGTTTACATCTCCGCCACGAGAAGGTAGTGGGTAGGACTTCCTCAGAAGAAGCTATTTGAGGCGCTTGGTCGTTTGGGAGCATTCCTAATGGAGTTCGGGACGAATGGCCATTTCGGTGCCCGAGACACCCACTCCCGACCATACTGAGGTATTTGGTGGCTCATACAGTAAATCTCGTACACCCAATCTGAATCGACCGTTTGCACGTGCCTTCCGTCGTTTCACCGAGGTTTCATGCTCCAGCGTCTTGCAGACATAAGAGTTGGGTGATTGAAAGAGGTCAAATAAGCCGAGCATGTCACATGGAGGTGATAGTCGAATAGCACAGATGTTCTCCCCTAATAGATACCCCTTACTCTTCCTTCCTGTTTAAGGTTAGACAAACTATTGCTGCTGACCAATTTAGTTCACGTCTCACAAGCGAAGTACTGCCCGGTCAGTAGCTATGAGCATAGTTTCCGTCCACGTCATCGGGTATAGACTATTGCTTTCAGTTTCCCCAGACATTTTGGCAGCTTTAAATGGGAGCTGGTGACAAGGACTGTCGGGGAAATTAGCCA